TTGAAACAGGCGACTTTATTTCTAGCGATTAATGGGAAATTATTTGAAAACAGGAGCGGGACACTTCTCAACTGGTCGATATCTGGCGACGAGCCATCCAGAAGGTCGATAGATACGAATTCACTCTTAGATCGAGTCATTCAGACTCGACCAGAGTGGGGGGACTATATGATATATGATATTATCTACACAAGGCTAAACCGGTCTATTTAGCCGGTCGAGAAGATCAAACCAGGAAGAAGCCAAGCCAAGAGGCAGGAGAATCGATCATTCAGATAGTCGACCAGGCAGGTAGTCGACCAATCCATCGCTCGACCAGATAAGCGATCGAGCAACCTATTCGACCTAATCAGGTCGATTGCTTCGGGGACCCAACAGTCGGCCTAGTCACAGGCGCGTGTAGGAACCTCTAACCAAATCTCAGGGGAATATTTACCCCATGTGCAGGGGGACACGTGTCGAGAATGCACTGGTGGATATCGATAACCACCTCTGACAGCTCCCCAACGCCCTCGCGCAACCTCTGACATGCGCGCGGTGTGTCAGAGTACGGACGGGCAGCTTAGGCAGCCAGCTCACCTTATCTGGGCAGCTATTAGGGCAGGTATTTCACCCCTATATATAAAAGGGGCGAGCCTTTCTCCCTTAACACATTCTATTCATTCCTCATTTTCAGTATTCTCATACACATACTGACTTTAGCATCGGAGGCTCTTCACCGGACACAACCCCCGGTGTGAGAGTTACTTGTAGGTTTCCGACGTTCTACCGGCGAGGACAAAGATCGATCTGTTCCAAACCGGACCAGGACGCTTACGCTTGCATTAGTTGGAATGTCATTTTCTTCACAATATAGAGGAACTGATTTGTTGATACCTCTAAGTCTTTTATAATTTTTGTGTAGTGCCGTCTGATGGCATCACTCGGATACTTTGGCCTTGAGAAACGACATCCTTCTAGCCACCGTATCTACCTCATCCATCTTATACTCTTTGATTAGCATTTCTCTCCATGGACTAGGTATCTTTCCAAAGAACAATTAATAGGCTTCAGAATCTGCCACCTTGGCCTTCCATCTATACTCTGTGAATAACTTGATATTCATCTACATGACAAATGTCATGTAATTCTAAACAATAGAGGGCTTGCTTATATTTCTTTTGTTTTTCTTCCTCTACTCCTTCAAAGTATCCTGTGCCGATTATAAGATCTTAAATACTCTAGCCATATTATCAACTATTCCTTTTAATGATTCTCCAGCTATGACATCTCCTTTTACGTCTGGAGAAGCCATATCCCATGCAATTTTAACTGAACCTCCTAGGCTCATTTTGAGATGTGAAATGAACCCTTCTTTATTGAGATCCAATGTCCCTCAAGCAATTCTCATTGCAGAGGCCCAATCATCAATAAGGATCTCCCGATTTTTAAAATCTAAAGTATCTAGATTCAACATTAATCCATAAGGATGAATTGGATCTAGTTGCGATTTCCCATAAGGGTTATTTTGAAGGTTAGGCCTTCGGGAACGTATTCGGGTACAAGTCGGATGCCCTCTTTCTCCCCGAACCTGAAAATTGCCTTGATGGGGCATATGTCGTTCTTCAGGTTGGTGAGAACCCGAACTTTCTCCTCCAGAGGTTGTTGGGATCTAGTTATTATTGTTGAACCATATCCCGTATTCATTTTTAAGTGTACTAGACCCAGACCCGCAAACGATTCTGCAAGGTCATGTAGATCCTCCAAATTCACTCTTTCCATTATTTGTTAGTGAATTTTCCTTTTAAGATGGCTCTCATCTTTTCGTCCTCTGTCATAGGCCTTCGAACTTCGGTGGGTTTACCCTTTTGGTGTAATAGAGGTACTGTTCTGAAGGTTACTTTTCTTCGTCCTCCAGAAGAACTGGCCTATCTTCTAGAGTTTTAACTCGCTTTTGAATGTCAATAAGGATTCCTAATGTATCCTTTTGACTCTTCATTAGTTCTTTAATTTTGGTTAGCGTCCGTTGAACCTTGTTTGGTACAAGCAATTGCTTTTCACCATAGCTTTGTACCGTCTTTTGTAATTCGCGAATATCTTCAGAAAACTTAGATGAGTCTGGATTAACTTCTTTCCAGGTTAAACTATTGTAGCTCATTGATGACTGTGATTTTGATGAGCTATTTCTTGATGATTTAATAAATCTGTTTGTAACAAATGGTTTACCCAGAGGGCATCCATATGATACTTCTTTTGTTTTTGGCAAAGTTTAGTTGTAATTCTATTAATCCTGCCATAACTTGTTCAACATAACGGTCATCCCAATGGGCAACCATTTGTTGGTGTTCTTGTTCACACATCTTCAAAATTTGAAGATAATTTAGATAATGTATACATTCTGGACAATTTTCTATATCCATTCTTTTTTAATTCTCCTCACCAAAATTCAATTACCATTTAATAAATTCTTCTAAGAGTTCTTAATAAAACCTAGGCTCTGATACCATTTTATGAGAGGTGGTACTCTGGGAATAAAGTCAGGTACAATATAGAAAGACATTTGGTACTCCATGTAAATTTATAACACAAGATACTATTTTGAAAGCACCAGGTACTATACTGAATGAAAACTTGTACTTTTCTTTTAGAAAACAGGTATCGGGACAGAAATGTAATTTAAACCTTAGAGGGGACCATAAATTTGTTGACTAGGGAGTTGAATGGAAAAAAATTTCACTAGGGACTGAATGAGAAGATGAATTTAGGATTAGGGATTTATCTCTACATTTTATTTTGTTTTAAAGTCTGAAAGGACAGTTATTGATACGATTATTGTAGGTCCAGCCAAAATAAAGGTCAAATGTGGTGGCTTAAGCTACCCTTATTAAAAAAAAATGTCAATAATGTGGTTCTAAAAGAATGCTAAAGCCGCCTATATTTGTTGAATGTGTTGCACCAGTCTTTATAAATAGAGGGGGCATTCAGCTGAGGAAAACACACCAAAAGGAGAAGAAGAAAAAATATCAGAAACAATATTTAGTTTCTGGAGTGTTAATTTTTCAGTGAGAGAATAATAGAGTGTTTGAGTAATCCTGTGAGTGTTGGAAAAATAAACGGGGTTGGGTATCATCTCTATTACTCCTTGTTTGTAATATTTGAATAGGAGTGAGGTCTCACTAGGTCACTATAGTTTACATTTCTAGTATAGTGGAATCCTGTGAGTTTATTGTTATGAAAAGATAATGCAATTATCATGAAAATATAGTGGAATTGCATATTTTATTTATTTAGGATATTCTTAGTATGCTCTGTTGTCGCAGTTTAATCTGATCTTCCACATCAAAAAAGAATTATCCATGTTTTATTGCAAGAGATTTCTTTTTTCATTCTTGAGTTGCTGTGATTGGGATTATTGTTCACCATTTCACATCGGTGTTTTAATTTACACCTTCCACATTTGCGTATATGAGTCAGACAAGTGGTACCAGAGCACATGTTGGGCTCTGTATCAACCAGTGTAAATTAAATGGAGGAGAACGTGGGTACTATGGTGAAGCTGTTTGGAAGCCAAAAATTGAGGACATACTTTTCTACAAAGATCTGTATGATCATGTAGAAAAGGGAGACATCAAGTCAGATGATGTGAAAGATGATGATTCGAAAAAATTACACAGAAAGGTTGTCGGTTTAATCAGGCAGTGGGTGGATATCAGCATATTCCACCAAGTTGCCACAGATTCAAAAGCCCATACTCTGGGGAACAAAATTGAACAAATGTATCAGAGGAAGACAATACAGAATAAATCTTTCGTCACTAGAAAGCTTGTAAATTTAAAATATCTGGATGGAAGAATAGTTGCAGAACAGTTGAATGAGTTTCAAGACATGGTAAAGCAACTTGTTACCATGGAGATGAAACTTGATGAAGAACTGCAGGCGTTGTTACTTTTGAGTTCTTTACCTGATAGCTGGGAGACTCTGGTGGTCTCGTTGAGCAACTCTGCTCCTAAAGGAAAACTGACTTTGACCCAAGTCAAATACAGTATGTTTAATGAAGAAACAAGAAAAAAAGACTCTGGGGCAAGCAGCTCTCAAGCCTTGGTCACAGAAACCAGGAGAAGAAGTAAAAGCAGAGGCCGAAATAACAAATCCAGAGATAAATCACAATTTCAACCCAGGAGAAATTTCAAGTGTTATCGCTGCGGTGAAGAAGGGCATATCAAAAGAAACTGTAAAGCCTGGAAGAACAGAGATCAGAGGAACAAAAAATTAGAGAACAATGAAAATACCGCAACCCTTATGATCAATAGGGAGGTGGTGTTGCGTTTTGTTGAAGAAGAAGAGTGTCATGTTGCAGATTCATGTGTTGAATAGGTCTTTGACTCAGCTGCATCTTACCATGCAACCTCTCAGAAAGAATTCTTTTCTCTATACAAAGAAGGAGACTTTGGTAGAGTAAAGATGGGCAACAACAACATTGCAAATATTGTGGGAGTTGGTGGTGTGTGCAGTCAAACTGATAATGGGTGCACAATAACACTAAAGGATGTACGATATGTATTTGATTTACGTCTGAAATTGATCTTTGTACATGCATTGGATCTAGCAGGCTATACTAACAATTTTGGTAGCGGCACGTGGAAGCTTACCAAAGAATCATTGTTAGCTGCTAGAGGCACAGTGAGATCGACGTTGTACAGAACTCAAGTAAAGCTGATCAAGGGTGGATTGAATGCAGTCGAGGATGATGCTTCGCCAAATTTGTGGTACAAAAGACTGGCTCATATTGGTGAAAAAAGATTGAAAATTTTGGTAAGAAAGTCCCTCATCCCATGCGCCAAAGGTTCAAAACTAAATTCTTCTGATCATTGTCTCTTTGGGAAGCATCATAGAGTATCTTTCAGCAAAACCTCGAAGCTGAAAGAGAATATTTTGGAGATAGTGTATTCTAATGTATGTGGACCCATGGAAGTGGAGAGTCTTGGTGGTAGATAATGCTTCACGAAAATTGTTTCTTGAGAATGAAAAACCAAGTTTTCCAGTACTTCAAAAGGTTACATGCTATGGTGGAGAGACAGGCTGATAAACCTTTGAAGTGTCTTCGCTCAGATAATGGAGGGGAGTATACTTCCCATGAATTCAAGAATTATTGTGTTGAGCATGACACTAGACATGAGAAGGTTGTACCTGGAACCCCACAACATAATGGTGTGGCTGAAAGAATCAATAGAACCATTATGGAGAAAGTGAGGTGTATGTTAAGAATGACTAAGCTACCTAAGCCATTCTTGGGTGAAGTTGTTTAAACGGCGTACTACCTGATCAACCGATCTCCATATGTTCTAACGGTGATACTTGTCGAAGAGGATCCAGTGGTGGTGCATGCCTCCGGCATTACCGCGGCCGCGGGGAAGCTGCGGTGCTTGCCGAAGCGGCCGTGTCCGGCGCTGATGTGGCCGCACTTCTGCAGTTCTTCTTAAATCCGGTCATCATCGGAAGTTGAGGGTGATTAAGTGATGAGGAAAGAGGTGTCGCTGATGAGCCTGTAGTAGTTAGCTATCCACTTAAGTGTTGCCTGAGCGGCTTTCTGAGCCCTTCGACACTTATGCTCGTCAATATAGGTCTTTACTTGAAGGGTATCTTCATCACCGACCCTTGATGCATAGATTACCCAAGGACATGTGTCATTTTTACATTTGGCTTGGATTTTGAATTTTATATTTAATGTGAAAGTTATATCCCTGCCATCCTTAATAGAATGTGCTCTTACACTCTCCTTAGAAGACTCAGCAGTAAGAAAACATTGTCCCAATTTAAATTACTCATCAACTTGTAACTTCCTTCTGACAGTTTCAACTTGGTGGACCATTTCACTACACTGCAAATTGATTTATTTTTAGAGCCGCTCATTTCTAAACCCTCTCATTCAACTTCAGCATCTATGTTTTTCTCATAAAGAACATCACCATTTTCATAAAACTCCCAATCTGTAACACCCCGCTATTTCATGGATTTCAGAGCGCGCTTTTCGCAAATTTTCTAAATAAAATAAAATATTTCTTTTTGCGAAAACTGATTCGGGGTGCTACCGTAAAAATCTGACTTGTTCTGAAAACCGTTAATTTTTGAGTTTAATAATAAAACGGTTATCTGATATATTAACCGACTAACGTCGGGTCAAAAGCGGGTTTGTAAGAAACTGAACAGTAGCGGAAACATCAGTGTAACCAAAACATAAGATATACATATAAACAAATGTCCTGAACCGGTCGCCCGCTCACTCCTCGGCTCCGACTCTGTGACCTGAAAAACATGAATAACGTGGGGGCATGAGCACTAATACACTGTGCTCCGCAAAAACTCATACTAAAGTAAACAGTGAAAATAATTGCAATATCATGATCCTGGTATATACATAACCTGAACATGAAACCGGTAATAAACATGAACCCGATAATCATCACATGAACCATGACCGTTACCTCATCTGCCAGCATAAAAATGTCGG